GCGACTGCCATAAATGCTTTGTCAAACTGAAAAGCAACGATCACAATTTCTCTACAAATTAAAATGAGAATTTATACCAGAAATGTACTTACTCTTTCAAACAATTCTATTTAATTGATCTTGAGATAAAATGAGTTTGGAATGGTAGCTGTGAAAAAGCTTTACTAACTTCTTAGATCCAAAATTTTCTAGACGAGATAAGACTATCAATCAAGCTTACTACTACTTCAACTTTTTCATCACACTATCAATTACAAATACATCACGTGCGACACACGTGCTTTTTTGGTGCCGCGCGGCTGAGTTTCAGTGTTGTCCAGCTGAATTTTTGAACAAACTTTTGTCCTTTAAAAATAAAAAATCTGTTATATATTCACTTACAAAGTTGAAGCATACTATGGTTTCAAGATATAGACCAAAACTCTTCAGCTCCAAAACGAGTTTGTCTTCGAGACACATCTCATCCTACTGACAGTCGAAGGAAGAAATGCCATTACTTTTTGACTGAAAACTTTGTGCACCACAATCCCATCTTCAAATTCTAGCCCTCTAAATGCTCATACTCGCCCTCACTCTGTAGCATTTCAGAGTTGCAAGGATGTACTCTAGTCGTCAATATTTCCATTGCAAGAGAAAAATTGATCTGGGTTGCCATTTTTCTGAGTTTCGATGCCAACAATTGGCTCAGAGAAGTTCAGCGGAGACCTATTTTTCAATTTCAGAATCAAGAATGAAGCACGGATTTTGAGGTGAACTTGATCTTCCAACTCCATTTTCTTTGCATTCTTCAAGTCCATCTTCCACAATAAGAGCTTATAGAAGCCTTTGACAATGTCATGTGGAGTCTGTCATTCTGTATCTAGGCTTTCAAGCAGAGAGGAATCCTGCAGCTGCTGGACAAATTCCACAAATTCAAAAATATTAATCAAATTGAGGACTATTTCAACTTTTTCATCACACTTTAAATACATTCACGATAACACAGTTGCGAAAACATCACTTGTGATGCATGTGCATTTTTTGTTCTATTAAACACAAAGTTACAACTAGATCACGTGCAATTTTGTGCTTGCAAAATAGATATTTTTTGTTGTTTAATGTTAGAAATAATTAAGTTATTCGAAAAGTAACTCTTACTTGCAATCAAAACGAGTACCTTTATTGTGTAAGTAGTATGAAAATATTTAGAAATAAAATTGAAAAATTTCACATCAGTTATATATTCCACAAATAATGTATAAAATTCCAAACGAGTAGTAAAACAGGAACGGCAATTTATGAAGAAGAAAAGAAGTCCTGAAAAAAGTGAAAAATTCAGTTATTTTTATTCTCTTCCCAAACTGTAGTATAGTATGATTTCAGAATACAGACTAACACTCTGTATGATATTGTCTTTAAGACACATCTCATTCTACTGGCAATCTCTGTAGCAGTTCAGAGTTGCATGGATGTACTCTTGCACTGCGATTCTATTGTTATCAGTGTTTCCTCTACAAGAGAAAATTTGATTTGGGTTGCCATTTTTCTGAATTTGGATACCAACAATTGGCTCAGAGAAGTTCAGTGGAGACCTATTCTTACTTTCAGAATCAAGAACGAAGCATGGATTATCAGGTGAACTCCTTATCTAGATAGTTTCCCCTCCCTCCTCCCCCGCCTATTCCCTCTTACCGTACAATTGAGAAGAAGTAAGATGCCCTTCACTTTGATATTTAAAACCCCAGTCCCTGTCCCATTCTTTTTCCTTCCTCCCCATCTTCATATCAAACAATGCTTCATATGGCTTCATCCATAAACTAAGTTGGTAATTCTCGCCTGCACACTGATACCGAATTGCTCTTTCTTGATTCTATTTGCCCATGTCTGCTGGAATAAAACGTTATAATTCAGTTGTTCCTAACCATTGCCTTGAAACATTCTTAGGTCATGGCCCAAGTGTTGCAGTGATGTGTGCACTGCTTTTAGCTCTTGGCTTGGCAGAAGATTGGAAAAATGCTGAAAAGTTAATCCGAGAAAGAAGGCCTTATATTCATATGAAAGCTCTTCATCGCAAAGCCTAGGAAGAATGGTCGAAACACCGGTTATCTTCTCCCACCAAACACCAAGAAGTCGGTGTAAGCTCTGTAATTTTTGAGTGATCTTTAGACGCTCTTAACAAATATTTTTGGAACCTCTATTGTATTTGATATATCTATAAAGGATCTCATCATCGACATTTATTTCCTTGTATGAGATGGATGTAGAATGAACGGTTACCATGTCCTAACTAAACTATAAGAGTACTTTATATTTACACTATTCACGTTTTCATCCAAAATACGTAGTCTTGGTGTTCCGGAGAGGACTCTATTGACTCTCCAATTGGTTGGACCGTAAGTGCAATGATTTACTTCATGGGCAAGGTCTCATGTCCAAGTTCAATTTGTTAAATCATTGCTTATTTCAGAAAAAGCAATTATTTCACAGCATCTCGCTAAGTTTTTCTCTCCCTCACTAGCGATATTTTGCCCGTTTGAGGAAAAACGCTACACAATTTTCATTTTTGCAAAAATTAGAATTATATATTTGATCGAGCTGTTCGGCCATCACATTGACGGAGTGAGGGCAATTTCATTAAAAATTTCTGGAAATTATGCATTCGTTTTAAGTAAGGATGAGCAGTTTTTAATTATAGTTTCATTTTCTTGAGGATGATTATCAAGAAGATTGTGACAGTTTTGAGATATATATTCATATGATGCTGGTTTAGTTTGAAAATTTTAAGGGATTTAATTAGTTTAGAATCGTCGCTGTAAAAAAGCTGTCCTAGCTTCCTTGATTCAACATTTGATCTTTTGGCCAAAGTTTGATGGATTACACAAATTGATCCAAAATTTTTGAGTTGAGACAAAACTATCAATCAAACTAAGGACAACTACAACTTTTCCAG